TATATATATATATATATATATATATATATATATATATATATATATATATATATATATATATATATATATATATTTTTTTTTTTTTTTTTTTTCCCACAAATATTCTAATATTATCTTATTAATGGTGGTATTTGTTGTTCAGGGTTATAAAGAATTTTAGTAAAGTAATGAAAGTCTCAGGGATGAATTAGATGTATGCTTATAAAATCAATGCTCAGTGTAAAGTGAACATTATAATATGGTCAATCTGCTTAATGGCCATTAAAATAATAAGCAATGTCATGCAAAAACCCTTAATACAGCTATATATTATTTATAATAATAATAATAACATATTTTGATGTAAAATATAACTCATTTGTGGGTGCAGTAGTCAACAGGAAAGATGATCAAAGATGCATAATAATTCAGACAAAAAAATAAATATTTAAATCTTCCAATAATTAATCATATGCCGTCCTATATTTAATACATCTTGGGTTTGGTTTTGCTGGGTTTTTGCTTTACATATATTTTATTTATTTATTTTATATGCAAAAAGGAATTAGTATTTCTTATTTTGTTCAAAGAAATGTCTTTTTATCTGGAGATACAAACTGCAGATAAACAAACGAAAAACATTTGCAGAAATGTGTATTAATGAGAAAAATGTGCTTAATTTAATGCAAATTAACATTATTTTAAAAAGAAAATCTAAATAAAGGAGGACTATTTTTAAATATTATTATTAAATATATTATTATCTTTGTAATTTTATCAATTATTTAATTAATTAGAAGTGAAAATAAGTTTTATACTAAATTATTTATGTGTTTTGGTAATATTTGATGTGTAATAGTGCTACTGCTGATTAAGGAGAATTACATAAAACTTGAAACAACAAGCTGAAAAACGGAGCGGTTCAGGCGCGATTTTGATGAATAAATAACAGTTTGCTTGTTTTGGTGAATTAAATTGCAGCTGTCAACAACAAAAAGATTGTTGATAAAACGCATTAAATTAGAGAAAAAATAAATAATGTTCAAATAAATAACATCATTAATATATATACATCACAGGTCCGGCTTTTACAATGTTTTTTGCTACACATCTGTGAGTCGATGGTGACCGCAGCTTGTTTGCGTCAGCAGATTCCGTGTCTCCACATTATATTTACAAAGCTTCCCTTCGTGCAGCGCTTTGGTTTCATCACACGCAGCCGCGTCACGCTTGACTAACAGCACTTGGGAAATCCTGCAGACAGACACGACAGGAAAACCCCGGCAGAAATAGCTTATGAGACTCAAAGTGCTCAGAGGACAGCAGGCGCTGTAAAGGTGCGTACGGGACAGAAAAAACACTGAAGATCATCAACAGAACAGTCTGATCCACATCCGGCCGAACCCGCGGCCCCTGGGCTCACAGTGAACACACACACACACACGTGTGGAGTCCAGCTGAGTCTGAGGAAGAGTGTGTGAGCTGGAGAGGCCCCGGGGCCTGGCTGGTCAGATTGTGCTCTAAGTGTGCACACCGGGCCCCAGGTCAGTGTCATCAGATGATACTGTTGTTGTGCATTGGAAGGCTCCGGGCCCCACATCAGCATCATCTGATTGTCCTCTTGGAATTTGCTAGTGAGGCCCCGGGCCCCAGATCTTCAGACAGTGCTTTTGGTATGCTCTTGTGAGGCCCCGGACCCCAGATCATCAAACAGTACTCTTGCTATGCACTAGTGAGGCCCCGGGCCCCAGATTATCAAACAGTACTCTTGCTATGCACTAGTGAGGCCCCGGGCCCCAGATTATCAAACAGTACTCTTGCTATGCACTAGTGAGGCCCCGGGCCCCAGATCATCAGACGGTACTCTCGATATGTGCTTGTGAGGCCCCGGGCCCTAGATCATCAGACAGTACCCTTGCTATGCACTAGTGAGGCCCCGGGCCCCAGATTATCAAACAGTACTCTTGCTATGCACTAGTGAGGCCCCGGGCCCCAGATCATCAGACGGTACTCTCGATATGTGCTTGTGAGGCCCCGGGCCCTAGATCATCAGACAGTACCCTTGCTATGCACTAGTGAGGCCCCGGGCCCCAGAACATCAAACAGTACTCTTGTTATGCACTAGTGAGGCCCCGGGCCCCAGATCATCAGACGGTACTCTTCATATGTGCTTGTTAGGCCCCGGGCCCTAGATCATCAGACAGTACCCTTGCTATGCACTTGTGAGGCCCCGGGCCCCAAATCATCAGATGGTACTCTTGATATGTGCTTGTGAGGCCCTAGGCCCCAGGTCAGTGTCATCAGAAAGTGCTCTTGTTTTGTACTAGTGAGGCCCCGGGCCCCAGGTAAATCTCATCAGATGTACTATTGATGTGTACTGACAGGGCCCCTAGCATCCGGGAGGCCCCAGGTCCCAAATCAATGTCATCAGAAAGTACTCATGGTTGTGCACAGTTGGGGTCCCGGGTCATTGCTATTAGGTGATACTCTATAAGTGTGTGGACAAGGCCCCGGGCCCCAGGTCAGTGTCATCAGACACTATTGTTGGTATGCATCCATGAGGCTCCGGGCCCCAGGTCAGTGTTTTAGTCGTTTACATGTGAAGCCCCGGGCCCCAAGTCAGTGTTGCACCCATATGCAGCTGTGAGGCTCCAGGCCCCAGGTCAGTGTTGTACCCATATGCGCCTGTGAGGCCCCGGGCCCCAGGTCAGTGTTGTACCCATATGCAGCTGTGAAGCCCCGGGCCCCAGGTCAGTGTTGTCAGATGGTGCTCTCGGTGTGTGCGTGTGTAAACGTATGAGCATGTGGGCGGGGCGTGGGGCTGCTGTTGCTGTGGGGACGGGGGGCGGGGCTAGAGCTGCAGTTGTGATTGGTGTTGAGGTGTGGGTGGGCGTGGCTAGAGCGGCGTTTGGTCAGGCTGTTCCTGTCGTTCAGCAGTGAGGTGTTCTCGTCCAGCCGGCCATCTCGGGGCGTCGCTGTGCTGTGATTGGTGCTGGTGGGCGGAGTCAGAGGTGGTGGCTGGGCGGAGTCAGAGGCATGGTCTAGGTGGGTGTGGCTGCTCTCCGGAGACTGAGGTGTGCTGTCCAGCCTTGAAGCCAACAGGCCGTTCTGGTACTGAGAGCGAGTGATCTGCAAGCAGACAATAACAGAGTAACACACCCTGATGACCTGCCGCTGCTGCTGTTTATAGTGCCTCCAAAAAACAGATGAGTGTGTCTCGCGTTCTCAGAACAGATGAGTGTGCTGGGTGTGAGCAGCCCCTAACACATCTCCTCCTCCTCCTCCTGTTGCTGCTGTGTTCTGATGTGATGTCTGACTGTTGTAGCTGTGGAATATTTCTAATCGTGATGGAGCAGTGATGTGCTCTAAACCTGCCGGATCTACTTTAGCTGTGTGTTTATCTGACAATAGCGGCACATCTTTACAATGCTCACCAGCCAATCAGCATCGAGCACTCAACAGCCCTGCGGTGTGAACTGAATAATATCACACTTTATAAACTCTTGATGCATGCGTGTGAGTGTGTGTGTGTGTGTGTGTGTGTGTGTGTTACCTTGGCGTACTGCAGGTCAGTGAGCGCGCGCACGTTGAAGTCAGGTGTGTACTGGGGCGCGGGGGCGGAGCTGTAGATCTGAGAGCTGCTGCCGCTGATGGAGACGCTGGAGTCCACTCGCTCCGTACAGCTCAGAGACGCAGAGCGGTTCAGCACACTCAGATGAGACGGGGAGCGCAACTCTGCACACACACACACACACACACACACACACACACACCACAGCTGTGTTAATGAGGGATATACATACACACACACTACACAAACACACACACCCCACACATGCACGCACGCACTCACAATTAAACACACATGCATGCACGCACGCGTGAATGTACACACACACACACACACACACACACACACACACACACACACACACACACACACCCACCCACACACACACCCACACACACACCCACACACACACACACACACACAATTGCATACACACATGCACACTTTTACACACACACACACACACACACACACACACACACACACACACACACACACACACACTCATGCATACTTATACACACACACAAATAATTACATACACACATGCACACTTACACACACACACACACACACACACACACACACACACACACACACACACACACACAAATGCACTCACAACTGCATACACACACACACACACACACACACTTACACACACTCACAATTGGATACACACATGCACACTTACACACACACACACACACACACACAATTGCATACACATAAGCATACTTATACACACACACACACACACACACACATAATTACATACACACACGCACACTTACACACACACACACACACACACACACACAAATGCACTCATAATTGCATACACACACACACACACACACACTTAATTGCATACACACATGCACACTTACACACACACACACAAATGCACTCACAATTGCATACACACACATACACACACTTACACACACACACAATTGCATACACATATGCATACTTATACACATACACACACACACACACACACACACACAATTACATACACACATGCACACTTACACACACACACACACACACACAAATACACTCACAATTGCATACACACACGCACACACACACACACACCCGCACACTTACACACACAATTGCAAACACACATGCACACTTACACACACACACACACACACACACACACACACACACACACACACACACACACAAATGCACTCACAATAGCGTACACACATGCACACTCACACACACACACTCACAATTGCATACACACACACACACACACACACTTACACACACTCACTATTGCATACACACTTGCACACTTACACACACACACACACACACACACACACGCACACACACGCACACACACACAATTGCATACACACATGCACACTTACACACACACACACACACACACAATTGCATACACATATGCATACTTATACACACACACAAACACACTTAATTACATACACACATGCACATTTACACACACACTTACACACACACAAATGCACTCACAATTGCATACACACACGCACAGACACACACCCACACACTTACACACACAATTGCAAACACACATGCACACTTACACACACACACACACACACACACACGAATGCACTCACAATTGCATACACACATGCACACTTACATACACAAACACACGAATGCACTCACAATTGCATACACACACACACACACAGATGCGATGAGTGTGAACATTAATCCAAGAGGATGTGGAGAACGTCTGACCAGTTCACTCATATTAAAACACAAACGAAAACTCCACAGCAGTATTCACCTGCTGCCACACTCTACAGTCAGAGTACATCAGTCAGAGTTAATCAATGTGTTTACTGACATCAACACACTGAAAAACACATCAATTACAGTCTTTATTCATATTTATTAACATTATTTACTATAAATAAAGTCAATCACTGTTAGTTCATGTTAAAAGTGCATTAACTAATGTCAAACTGGATATTAATCGAGCATTAGTGAATGTTGTGCTATATTGTTCATTATTAATTCATGCTGATAAATACATGAACTAATGAAATCTTATTGTAAACCGGGACTAATATACTAATGCATTTATATATTAATATTACAATGTTTAATTAAATGCATTACATTAAATATTATGATAGAAATGTAACATATTCAAATAAACAGGTCATAATTAATACTTAAATCCACATATTACAGTGATTCCTGAAGGATCGTGAACTCTGCAGACTGCAGTAATGATGCAGAAAAATCTGCTTTAAATAATTTAAATAAATTACACCGTATTAAATATCCACACCAAGTGCAGATATCTAAAAGCACAATATTTTTTCTGTATTTACTGTATTTTTTGTGAAATAAATACAGTGTCATTTTTTAAACTATTAACCCGTAACGTGCTGTGAGTAAAGTCAGTCCACTGGCGCCCTCTGCTGGTGGCGGAGAGATCACACAGGCTTCATGAATGTTCAGTTGATGGATGATTATAATGATGTTTCATGCATTACTGATGCAGGTTTTAGAGTTTATTATCTTCTGTGATGGACAGAATGAGTGAATGAATGAATTAAAGAAGAAGAGCAGCTCGTCAAACATTAAAGACGTCCAGCAAGATTACATTTACCAGCACTACATATATATATATATATATATATATATACAGCCAATCAGAATTAACTACAGTGTTTTTGTATTTAACACAGTAGTTCAGCTCTCAAATTTTATTTATATTTGCATCCATTCAAGACCTGCCATTCACTACTTAATGAGAACATATTAGGTATGCATTTAGGACTAAAAAAGTATATAATGTGCCAAATATATTCACTCATCGGCCACTTTATTAGGTACACTGTCCAACTGCTTGTTAACGCAAATTTCTAATCAGCCAATCACATGGCAGCAGCTCAATGCATTTAGGCATGTAGACATGGTCAAGACGATCTGCTGCACTTTTAAGTGAGCATCAGAATGGGGAAGGAAGGGGAAAAGTCATTATCCATCCTGCCTTGTATCAGCGGTTCAGGCTGCTGGTGGTGGTGTAATGGTGTGGGGGAGATTTTCTTTGGGTCTATTAGTACCAATTGAGCATCAACGCCACAGCCTACCTGAGTATTGCTGCTGACCATGTCCATCCCTTTATGAGCACAGTGTCTCCATCTTCTGATGGCTACTTCCAGCAGGATAACGCAGCATGTCATAAAGCTCAATCATCTCAGACTGCTTTCTTGAACATGACGATGAGTTCACTGCACTCAAATGGCCTCCACAGTCACCAGAGCTCAATCCAATAGAGCAGCTTTGGGATGTGGTGGAACGGGAGATTGGCATCATGGATGTGCAGCCGACAAATCTGCAGCAACTGTGTGATGCTATCATGACAATATGGAGCAAAACCTCTGAGGAATATTTGCAGTAGCTTGTTGAATTTCTGACATGAAGGATTAAAGCAGATCTGAAGGCTAAAGGGGTCCAACCCGATACTAGTAAGGTGTACCTAATAAAGTGGCCAGTGAGAGTAAATGTTTTACATCATTTAATCATTTTTGCATGAGGAAAATGCAAATATATATTAAACATCTGCTGACTCCTGTCAAAAATTACACTCATAAATAAAGAAATAAATAGTTTTGTGGCTATAATTGCATTAAGTTTGAATGTTTTAAATGAATGCAAACACAAATTAGATTTGAAAAGCCCAAATTCTTCCTAATAATAAACACAGCGCATACATTTTGCATGTGTCATTTTTTTTTATGAAATTGAACTATTTATGCTCTCTAAATTTTCATGCACTACTTTTACTGGAATAAAAAAATAATAATATTAAATACATTTAAAAATATTGACAAATAAATACAATATTGAAAAGTAAAATGAATAAAAGAAAAATAAAATAAAGCAATTTTAAACAAAACTGAACAATTAACAAAAATTAATAATAATATAAATTAATAATATTTAATATTTATTATTGCAAAGTAAAATAAAAACATTAATACAAATATAGAAAAATAAAACAATTGAAAACTAAAAAACTATTTTGAACAATTAAAATATTTATAAAAATATAATAAAATTATTTAAAATAAAGCATAATTGAAAAGTAAAATAAATTGAAAAATGTAAATAAAATAAAACACCTAAACAATACAAATGCTTAAAAATAAATTATATTAAGAAGTAAACTAAAAAAACTATTTTGAACAAAAATAATAATAAATAATAACCAATTTTTATAAATAAAATATATAATATATATATAAAATTGAAACATAACATAAACAATAAACTATCATTGAAAAGTCTTGAACAATAAAAATATTTTAAAATAAGACATTAAATAAGACAGAAAAATGCAAATAAAATGTAAAACTTGAACAGTAAAAAATAGACAAATAAAATACATAATTTAAAAGTAAAATAATTTTTTTAACAATAAAAGTATTTAAAAATAAATTATAGTAATAAAAAGTAAAATAAAAACAGTTTTGAAAAAAAAAAAAAAATATATATATATATATATATATATATATATATAAAAGGTAAAAAAAAATAAACATTTTGAATAAAATATTGAAAAATAAATGATATTATTGAAAAGTAAAATAAAAATAAACAAAAATGTTAATAAAATATTGAAAAATAAAACATCATTGAAACGTGAAATAAGAAAATATTTTGAGCAATAAAATATTTTAAAATAAAACATAAAAATAAATAAAATAAAAAAATATTAAAAATAAAATATTGAAAAATAAATTATATTATTGAAAAGTAAAATAAATGGAAAAAAGGAAATAAACAAAAAAGTTGAACAATGAAATAAAAAATGTGATGATATTGTGTAGATTAAAAATAAAAATTAATAATAGAAAAATATTATAGAAAAGAGAAAAATGACATGAAAACTGTAAACTTGCTGGAAATGTTTGATAGTGAGGGTGTTCAATGATTCACTCTCAGGAAAAACTGCACAAAAGCTGTGTCTGTACACGAGGTTGATCTCTGCGTGTGTGTGCAGAGAAAAACCTCCAGCAACAGCGTGTGTGTGTGTGTTTTTCCTGAATCTGCGAGCGTGCAGAGTTTACCTGGGAAACGCGTGAACAGAGAAAACCTCTTTAGCGAAAGACGTCGAGGACGAGGAGGAGACGCCACACACACGGCTGAGGAGAGCAGAGACACACACACACACGTCAACGACACACACACACACACACACATACAGCTCACATACAGCAGCACCTCCAGGATTTTGAACACAATTAAAAAATAAGTTCAGATTTAAGTGTGTAAATGTCTGAGTTTTGCTAATTGTGCAGAATCAGTGATGATCTTTTATTGTTTTTATTATCAAAGTGGGAAATCTGCAGCAATTAAAGATCTGCCAGCTCCTCCAGATGTGGAGCATTCGCTTGATTGGACATTCAATTCAGCAGAGCGGGGAAATCCTGGAGGATTAATGAGTAACACACACACACACACACACAGCACCCAAAATCACTCCTTCAAAACCCGCATGAGCTTCCTCCTGCACTGGAAACCCAATGCAGATATTTAGCAGAATGTTCCAGCTGCTCTTCCACACACAGAGGGACACAAAGCAGGGCTAGGTGGTTGCTATGTCATTTTGGGTGGTTGTTAGTAGGTGGTAATTGGTTGCTAGGTGACCTTAATGATTACCATGTTGCTATGCTGTTCAGGGTTTTTGCAAGTTGGTTGCCAGGGTGTTCTGTTGGTTGCTAGGGTGGTGCTAAGCAGTTGCTATGGTGTTATGAGTAGTTGCTTGGGTGGTGCTATTTGGTTAAAAGAATAAACTTGGGGGTTGCTAGGGTGTTTCTAGGCAGTAGCAGGTCATTATGGGTGGTTGTTTTTGTGGATAATTGGCAAGATGTTGCTTGTTGGTTGCTAGGGTGTTACATGGGTTGCTAAGGTGGTGGTGGTGCTAAGCAGTTGCTATGGTGTTTTGAGTAGTTGCTTAGGTGCTGCTAGATGGTTGCTAATGTGACCTCTGTTGTTGCTGGGGTATTGTGAATAATTGCAAAGATGTTGCTATTTGGTTGCTAATGTGTTGTTATATGGTTGCTAGGGTGACTGTTGCTTACAGAGGTTTGTTAAGCAGTTGCTATGTCATTATGAGTGGTTGCCAGGGTGTTGACAAGGGTTTGCTAGGATGTTGACAGATGGTTGCTATGGTGATCTTTGTGGTTGGGTGAACTTGGTAGTTGCTATGTAGTTCTGGGCCGTTGCTAGGGTATTGTGGATGATTGCTAGAATTTTGCTATTTGGTTGCTAAGGTGTTTCTATATGGTTGCCAGAGGCAGTTATGTCATTTTGGTGGTTGCTAGGGTATTAGGGATACATTCTAGAATCTTGCTAGTAGGTTGTTAGGGTGATGCTAAGCAGTGTTATCAGTGGTTGCTTGGATGCTGCTATATGTTTACTAGTGTGACCTTGGTGGTTGCTAGGGTGTTTCTAAGCAGTTGCATGCCATTCTGGGCGGTTGCTAGGGTATTGTGGTTAATTGACAAGAAGTTGCTAGTTGGTTGCTAGGGTATTTTGGGGGTTGCTATGGTGTTATGAGTGGTTGCTTGGGTGGTACTAAATGGCTGCTAAGATGGCCTTGGTGGCTGCCAGGGTGTTTCTAGGCAGTTGCTATGTTGTTCTGGGGTGTTGCTAGGGTATTTTAAATAGTTGCTAGGATGTTGCTAGTTGGTTGCTAAGGTGTTTTAGGGGTTGCTATGGTGTTATGAGTGGTTGCTTGAGTGGTGCTAAATGGTTGCTAGGGTGACCTTGGCGATTACTATGGTATTTCTAGGCATTTGCATGTCATTCTGGGTGGTTGCTAGGGTATTGTAGATAATTGATAGGATGTTGCTAGTTGGTTGCTAGGGTGTTCTAGGGGTTGCTAAGGTGATGCTAAGCAGTTGCTATGTCATTTTGGGTGGTTGTTTGGGTGGTGCAATTTGGTTAAGATGGTAACCTTGGTGGTTGTTAGGTTGTAGTTCTGGGAGGTTGCTGGGGTATTGTGAATAATAGCAAATATGTTGCTATTTGGTTGCTAAGGTGACTACTGTTGTTTACAGAGGTTTGGTAAGCAGCTGCTATGTTGATATGGATGGTTGCCAGGGTGTCAACCATGGTTTGCTAGGATGTTGAAAGTTGGTTGCTATGGTGATCTTAGTGGTTGTGTGGTAGTTGCTATGGTGTTTTAGGAGGTTGCTGGGATTTTGTTGATGGCTGTTAAAATGTTGCAAGTTAGTTGCTAGTGTAGTGCCATATGGTTGCCAGGGGGACCTTTGTGGTTGGCAAGTAATCAGGACTATATTCTCAGTCAGTTGGCGTTTCTGTGTGGAGTTTGCATGTTCTCCCCGTGTTGGCATGGGTTTCCTCTGGGTGCTCCGGTTTCCCCCACAGTCAAACTAAATTGGCTGTAGTGTATGAGTGTGTGTGTGTGTGTGTATATGAGTGTGTATGGGTGTTTCCCAGTACTGGGTTGCAGCTGGAAGGGTATCTGCTGTGTAAAACATATGCTGGAATAGTTGGCGGTTCATTCCGCTGTGGCGACCCCTGATAAATAAAGGGAGTAAGCCAAAAAAAAATGAATGAATAAATAATCTAATTATTTTGAGTGTATAGAATATTAGAAATATATCATGTAATTATTTATTGCACGCTTCAGCTCAACACAACTTCAAGGAGATTCTTTTGTGTCACTGAATCTTCACCCATCAACAACGTGTGTATAAAAATGCTTGAACAGCTGGAACATTCTGCTGAATAGCGCCTGTGTAAGGCTGAAAGGAAGCAGCAGCGGGCTCTTGAAGGACGTGAGTGTGAGTGACTGCGGCCGGATCCGTCACATCAGCTCCATCTCTAATACAGCGTTTGCTGAACACACACAGTCAGACAGTCGCTAAGCACATCAGCGTGACGATTGCACAGCTGGAGGTGAAGAACAGAAGCAGACAGAGATCATCCCTGCAGACAAACCTGTCCCGGACACTGCGGAGTCATTACATAACACACACACACACACACTGACTGCACAGTGGCACATTACCAGCAGCCGCTCCAGAGACTCATCCACAGTTACTCAGAGCATAATATAGTCATGTTTACACACATTTTAACACTCTTAATGCATATAGCTCTGTGTAGATTGAGGTAGGTGACATTTCTGAAAACTGTGTGTGTGTGTGTGTGTGTGTGAAAATTGTATATGTGTGAGTGAACGCATTGTGTGTAAGGGTATTGTGAATGTGTATATAAAGGTGTTGTGTATGTGTGTGTAAGTGTGGGTCTGTGTAAAGATATTGTGCATTTGTGTATTTGTGAAACGTTATTGTGTATATGTGCATGTGCGCATGTGTAATGGTTTTGTGTATGTATGTGCTTAGGTATGCATGTACAGGTGTGTATTGGAGTGTGTCTAATAGTGTGTGTGTACAGGCGTGTGCATGTAAATCGGTGTTTGTTTATACGTTTGTATTGCAGTGTGTGTGTGTGTGTGTGTGTGTGTGTATAAGTGTGTACGTGTGCGTGTGTGTGTGTCTCTGTGTGTGTGTTCCCTCACCCAGGCTCGGCGCACTCAGCGCCATCACTCCATAATAAGAGAAAGGTCCCGTCTCAAACCGCATGTTCTCATTACCGGCCTCGACCTCCACACGACCCTGAGGAAACACAACACAAACACACACATTGATGGAGACACATATACACACATATATGTAAACAAATAAACAGTAGTACACATATACACACCTATATACACACAAATGCACAGTACACACACCTGTACATGCACAAACACACCTACTGTGTATATATACATATACTGTGTGTGTGTGTGTGTGTGTGTGTGTGTGTATATATATATATATATATATATATATATATATATATATATATATATATACTGTATATCATACTGTGTTTATTTAAATATATTT